TCCTGTGCGTGGCCGCACTAGGACAGGCCTACCCTTCAAAACCACACCTCTCCAGGAGCTGTGCTTGCAAGCTGTCTAGATCCTCAGGCCTTGCATAACCAGAAAGACAGATATAATTCATCTTCACTCAAACTAGGGAGTAATGATGAGACAATTTGCAATCAAAAGGAATCATCCTGATTCCTCTGGGAAAATTGGCACACACTAAACAATACTCTCTGGCCCCCACAAACCCAGTCAACAAATCAAGAGACCGTAGTCCTCAAGAAAACAGAAGCAAGGACGAACTTTCCCGGGCTTGAGAGTCCGTTTCGACCTGCGTCTTTCTCAAACGTCAGCTTGTGGTGTTATTCTTCCAATCATGACTCTTTTCAACAATACATGCACAGATTCAATAGTGGCTAATTCTAGCTCTACTGCTCACAAAACTCCTTCCGGATAATAACTAGGTTACTGAAACATCCACAAATATAGAAAATGAAAATACCCCTAATTGGTTTTATCACATTCAGAAATGCAGTAATATTGTGATCAGAGGGCAGGATTAAGACTGGGAATATCCAGGTTCAAATCCTTACATAGATGTGAAGCTCACAGAGCAACCTTGGGCTAGACACTCCTTGATCCTAACCACCTGACAGGGTTGTTGTGAGAACAGAACAGAGTGCCTTGTTTGCTCATAGGGAGAAATGTGGGATGAAAATGTAGTTAGCTGAATGAGGGAAATGCTTTGGACATATATGAGCTCATATGATTTCATAAAATTTCAGTTAGTGAAACCACAGGAACATGATGAACTGGGTGTCACAGACAAGTTAGCTTATGAGCAGTGCTTGCGATGTCTTTCATGGGGCTAAAATTTCCAAAAGAAGAGGAAGACTTACTTCAATCCACTGGACATCTTCAATCAAGGCGATAGAAGTTCTGACAAAGAAAACAAAGAAATAATAAACTGGTGTAGATTATGTGGCCAAGAGATGGTGAGCACAGCCGTGGCCCAGGGAAAGATGGGGGGAGGGGCCAATTTTTAAAAAACCCTCTGCCAAATGCTATTGGCCTCTGACCCTCCTTTGGGGTAGGCAAGAACACGTGAAGAGTCCTGCTAGATCAGCCCACTGTTTCAAACACTGGCCACCAACCAGTAACCCAGGACCAACAAAACAAGGATAAAGCTCAAGGCCTCTGATGTTGCTTCCTAGGACTGATATTCAGATGTTTATTGCTTCTGCATATGGAGGTTCCCCTTATTCACTATGGCTAGTCCTGGCCTCATGGACCTGTTCTCAGTATGAATATGCTAACCCCTTCTCATCACTATATCAACTGGCAGTGAATCCCACAATTTATTCACTCATTAAGTAAAATAGTACCTCCTTTTGTCCAGCCTGAATCTATTTCTAATCATCTTCTTTGGGTGTCCCCTCAGTTCTAATACCATAATACAGGAAGGGGGGAAAAAACCCTTCAATTTTCTCCTGTTTAGGAAAACTGAAAACTACATTACATTACATGTAAAGGTAAAGGTTTCTCTTGCTCGAAAGCTAGTCGAATCCGACTCTAGGGGGCGGTGCTCATCGTTTCAAAGCCAAAGAGCCAGCATTGTTCGAAGACTTCTCCATGGTCATGTGGCCAGCATGACTAAACGCCAAGGCGCCACGGAACACTACCTTCCCACTGAAGGTACCCATTTATCTACTTGCAATTTCTTGCTTTCGAACTGCTAGGTTGGCAGGAGCTGGGGCCGGAGATGGGAGCTCACTCCGTCACGCGGCACACTCGGGGCTCGGACTGCTGAGCCACCGACCTTCCGGCCTGCAACTCAGCGTCTTAACTTCTGAGCCACTGCAGCCTCCACACGTTATATGTACATTACTACAAAAATTGCATTTGAGAGATGTTGACAGTCAGGTAGACAATATCAAACATTTCTCTGGTAAATACCCAACTCCTACAAATATCAAAGAAACAGGAATGAACACTGGTGGCATCCATATAAATTTCTTGGCTTCTCTGTACAACACTAACAACAACCTGGGATGTTCTTTACATGAGCCTTCAGGAGGTCACGGCTGTTATTTAGCAAAAACATTTTTGTATTCAGAATTACATTCATGTTGTGAGGTTACTAACTGAAAATATCTGACTCTGATCTGTAAATAAGATGATGAACTGCGGATATGTATATCCTTTTATTTTAAACAATAAAAATTTAAACCGAAAAAAGAATTACATTCATGTTCCACTCTGTGGTTCAGGATTTTGATTAGGATAACTGATGAAATACAATTGTTATCTTAAATGTAATAATATGGATAAAGGCTCAAAATACAGGATGCTAGTCAGCTGACCTTTTTCAAAAGGATTGCCAACAGGCAGCATACAAAAACAATAAAAGTTGTGTAATTTAGTGCAGCTGAGCTTTAGCAGAGTGACTTTGTACAATCATTCCAAGAGGCAGATGAAAAGGTAAACATGCAAATGCGTAAAAGTTATTAGTCCCCCCCAAAAAAGAAATACAGTGGAACACTTCCTCATATTATTCACAGGGTCCTAAAATGTAAAAACAGGGATTGTATGATTCCTGTACTGAAAGATCTTCACTGGTGCACTGGTTCCCTATCTGTTTACAAGCTCAATTCAGTTGTTGGTTCTTACCTTTAAGGCCCTAAATGGCTTGGGGTCAGGGTACCTGAAGGACCACCTCCTCCTGTACTATCCAGCTTGCCAGTTAAGATTTGCCTCTCAAGCCCGGCTCACTGTGCTCACATCTTCACAGGTGGCCATGTGTCAGAATCCTGGTTAAATCAGTTCTCAACACCATTCACTTTGAAGAAAGTTAACTTTATTGAGACACTGATAGATACCATACTGGACATGAGCTATTGTTAGGATTGAAGTTGAACCAATTTGGTGCAGTGGTTAAGTGTGCGGACTCTAATCTGGGAGAACCGGGTTTGATTCCCCACTCTTCCACTTGCACCTGGCTGGATGACCTTGGGCAAGTCGAAGCTCTGATAAGAGCTGTTCTTGAAAAAAGAACAGTTTCTGTCAGAGCTCTCTCAGCCCCACCTACCTTACAGGGTGTCTGTTGTGGGGAGGGTTAGGAGGGTTAGGAAAGGAGTTTGTAAGCTCTGAGACACCTTTGGGTAGTGAAGGGCAGGGTTATAAATCCAAACTCTTCTTCTTCTTCTGAACGTGCAAAAGTTGCAGATATAGTATTCAAGTAAAAACACTAAAGATCAGGACCCAATCACCCCACAGTATTTGCCTGCCAGAATTAACAGTCAACTACCCCCCCCCCCGACACGTAGCCTCTACATAGCAAGGAAAACAGAATAACAGACATTTGAGAAGCCAGGGCATTTGGCCCCACTAAGGTGAAAAACCTCTGGCAGGTCAAAGGGAGAGGAACCTCCTCTCTCAGTGGCAGGCGAGCTGTAAAAGGCACAGGGAGCTAGAAACAGCATTTTCTGTGGTGGCCCCTCAGCTGAGGAATGACCTCACATGGTGCATACTTTACACTCTCGTAGACGCCAGGCTAAAACACACCCAGACTTTTAATTAGAGGGTTTATCTTAATAGCTTCTTCGTTGGATTCTGTTGTATGCTGCTTATGTCCAGTGGCTTGTTTTTATATACTTGTTTTTATATTGTGATTTTTTAAAACTGTAAGCCACCCTTGAATGGGGCTCTGGAGAGGCGGCATAGAAATAGCCTAAATAAAGAAAAAAGAAGCCCACTTGTTAATGTGTGTAATACGTAGCCAAAGGCTGAGAAGACTTCAGAGCTTGGAGGGAGCCTCAATGCTCCGCTTCATGAGGGAACAGATGCCCCAGCTGACACCAGACTTTAAGTCACACAACCAGATGGAATCTTTGAAAAGCTTACATAAATGCTTAGTGAATAAGAAGCTATCCTTATCTAAGGTTGCAAAATATCTGCTGTTTCATTCATGCCAAATGGTCACTATATAACTCCTTTCTAAAAGAGTTCACAATTTCCTCTGCATGATCATTCCACAATAAACTGACATTTTGTACTCGGGGTACAGCTCCTACCCTGCTTGCTAATCTTACATGTGTGTGTGCTTTGGATATGAAAGAAAGCATGAGAACCTATGGGTTACAGCGGGTAGAACAGGGAGAGTCCTGTTCCTTTTCAAGCATGACATTCACTTTGTTAATGATCTCTCGGCTCAACTTGGCAGATCACAAGATAAATGAGCAAAGAACTGTAAAGCACTTTCTGCATGGTTGTGTACGTATCAGAAGAGAAATCTGCAGGAGTGCAATGTGGCAGAATACATCCACAGTAAAACTTGAACAACATTCCAATCACCCACAAGAACTTCTCCGGTCACTCATTAAATTAATCCATATTTTGCCTTAAGAGTTAGTACGGCTAACCGCCTCACTTAGTGTTAAAATGTAAATATCGCTGCATTGTAATCAGTTGATTTTCAGAAAGCTTAACAGGGCTGAACTCTGCTTCTGTCATGACCTTACCAAGGTTTAAGCCAAGTGGGACGGGAGTCAGGGAGCATGCTTTTATCCAATAATAAACAAGAAATCCCCTGTTGTAACTGTAAAGCCCCTGTTCATGTCGATCATGCTTTAGGTTGATCCTGCACTGAGACTAGATGGCCTATATGGCCCCTTCCAACTCTATGATTCTTTGCATAGGTCCTTTGTGGATTTTTATTGCCTGTGGGAAATCCCAAAACTCCAGCCATGGTTTATAGTACTGATGTGTGTTGACAACTACCATGAGCAGTTGACCCATTGGAGGTAATATTTTGACATGTCATTAAGTAAAAGCCCAGACACAGGGCCGGCCCGAGGTGTTTTTGCACCCTAGGCGGGGCTACCTTCTGGCGCCCCCCCACGTGCACCCAATTAAGGCATTGCCAACCCCCAGGCAGGGCCTAGAGAGAAGCACCAGCTCCCTCCATCCCCAAAGCTGCCCCTGGAAACAAAGGCCAATCGCAGAGAGGGCTTTTCTTTCCAAGTGTTCAGTCTGCATTTTTTTTGGGGGGAGCGCTTCTTTCTTGGCGATCCCGCACTTACCTGAAGCCAGACTGAAGAGCAAGCACAAGGCGCTTAAGCAGATCCGGGGCTCAGTGAACAGCAGCCTGGAGTGAACAAGCTGTGCTGGGAAACCGCCCGGAATGGCGCCAAGAGGGAGGCAATGCGTGCGGGGTGGGGTGGGGGAGCTGACAGTTCCTCAGCCCGAACATGTTGGCAGCAGGCGGAGACAATGGAGGGAGGGCGAGAGCCATGGCTGGAGCAGAGGGTGGGCAGGGGCTGTAGGGTGGGTGGGGGTGGGAAAAGGGGCCCGCAGAGCCCCAGGCATGTTTGCGGCAGGTGAGCCTGGCACAGCCACCCCGCCGCCGATGGGAGTGCACCAATGGACAGACTTGGGCCCCGCCTCCTCCTTTTCCTCCTCCTCCCCGGCCAGCACAGCAGGAGCAGGGGTGCAACCCACCTTCGTCGGCCCCTTTTGCCCCCCCCCATGGCTGGGAGCAGCAATGGTGGGTAGCCGGGAGAGCTGTGCAGGGCGGAGCCACGCAGGAAGGAGGGCAGAGCCCAGAAGGGGGCCCGCTGGAGGCCGGAGCACTGCAGAGTCCCCAAAAGAGTGCACTTTCCTCCCTCCTCACTTCCTTCCCCACCTGCCCGCCCGCCTGCCCCCTCCCCTCCTCCTTCCTGATGGTGATGCTGCGGCGGAGGCTAAGCAAGCTGGCAGAAAGGAAGGGGCACATTGTGGGTGCCCAGAAAGCCATGCTGGGGGTGAGTGGGCGGCGGTGGCAGGGGCCTCGCTGCGCCCCTGGGAGATCTGCATCCTAGACCAGGTGCTAGTAGGCGTAGTGAGAGAGCCGGCCCTGCCCAGACAATATCACAGATG